ATTGTGATAATAGATAAGAATCGGATAGTTGATGATTTCCAATGTCTGCTGGTGTAATCCTAACACCTCAACCAACTCTCCATGTGATCGGTTTGAAGCCCATCTCACAAGGCGGGGAAAATTCAGGCCTTCTCCAAGATGTCTGTTAATTCCTTGGATTTCCATTTCTCAGTGTCGCCTCTGACTCTCAATTTCTTTCTTTGCTGAATTGTGGCCACACCTTTATCTCTATCCCAGAATGGCCCCTGAGAGTTGAATACAACCCCTCCTCTTTGACACCCTCTAGCCCTCCTCCCACAGGGTAGCTTTGTATAGTAGACATTCATTGGCGATTTGGGGAATGGATTACAATGGAGGGCTGGATTACAGAATTGCAGCCACACATCTCTTTTGTGGTTTTTTAAAAGTTTATTTATTTATTTATTTTTGAGAGAGGCAGAGACAGCATGAGTGGAGGAGGCGCAGAGAGAGAGAGAGAGAGAGACAAAATATCGCAAGCAGGCTTTGTGCTGTCAGCACAGAGCCATGCAGGGCTCAATCTCATGAAACTGTCAGATCATGATCTGAGCCGAAACCGAGTCGGATGCTTAACTGACTGAGCCACCCAGGCGCTCCCAGACATCTCTCCTTTTAAAAAGCTTTCCTGGGGCGCCTGGGTGGCTCAGGTCATGATCTCATGATTCTGATTCCATGGGTTCGAGCCCCCCCCACTGGGCTCTGTGCTGACAGCTTAGAACCTGGAGCCTGCTTCAGATTCTGTGTCTCCCTCTCTCTCTGCCCCTCACCCGCTTGTGCTCTGTCTCTCTGTCTCTTAAAAATAAATAAACATCAAAAAAAGAAACCATAAAAAGCTTCTCCAACTTTCCACTTTTAATCTTTGGCTATTTTGCTTAGTCTTTCTTTCTTTCTTTCTTTCTTTCTTTCTTTCTTTCTTTCTCTCTTCTTTGTTCTTCCTCATCCCCAAATTCTTGTTCACTTCTTAGGCAGAGTTTTTACGATTTTTGTTTTTTGGTGTTTTTTTTTTTTTTTAATGCTTATTTATTTATTTTGAGAGAGAGAGCCAGAGAGAGAAGAAAAGACAGAATCCCAAGCAGGATCCCCACTGCCAGCTCAGAGCCTGATGTGGGACTCGTTCTCACAAACACTGAGATCACGACCCAAATCAAAAATCAAGAGTTGGATGTTTGACTGACTGAGCCACCCAGGCGCCCCCTTAGGCAGAGTTTTTTAAGCTTTCTTTGTTTTTTTCCTCTCCACCCATGTCCTTAGGGCCTCACCTTCTACCCCCAAGGGGCCTATGAAGGTATTTTCCTAAACAAAGACACTTCCTTCCCTAAAAGGAACTCTGGTGCCAGCTGATAAAATAATAGCTTCTCTTATCTGCTATAACAATGGCAAGGTTGCCAAATTGTGTTTATTCTTTGGGAGATCTGACCTTAGTTAGGCCTTCTGGCCAACCGGAAAAGTAATTGGTCTGCACTGGTAATTTAGGTCCCCCCCATTATGTGATTTGACTTGGTGCTCACAGGTTTGGGAGAAGGGCTGGGTGGTTCTCATGAATTCATTTTATGACGGGCAAAAATGGGGTTTAGAAATGGCCGTTGACCAGACGAATGCGTTTTTGAGCTAGAACTTGAACCCAGATTCCAGCTCCTTCAATTCTCTTTCCCTTGAGAGTTTCCCTGAAAATGGAAAATGTTGCTTGCTTGTTAGTCAGGGGAGCTGTTTCGAGAGTGAACTTGATACCCCTGTGGGAGGTCAAAAGAGACATGGATTATTTGGCAGATAGGTTTTACGTAAGTGCCGGACGAAAAGATAAGCTGTCAGCAGATGCTTTTCTTTGTTGAGACTGAAAGGTTAACCCCTTAAGATAACAATCTTGAGGGATTAGAAGTGGCCTAGGCTGGGGAAGGATCCAGCAGGACTTCTCCAGCCCCACCTCTCAAGGCCTTCTCTCCACCATGGATGCCGCTCCTGTTTGTCCCCCATCTTTCCCCTAGTCTCTTTGGATGCCCATCCCCGCTCCCGAACACCCTCTGGGGAGCCATCCCTGACAGCCAAACACATGGATTGAGTCTCTCTCTCCCAGGAATCCCGCTGGCAATTACTCTCTGCTTTGCACCATTAGCGTGTTCTAGATCAGTGGCTTGCAAACGTGGTTGGTTTCGTCCCTCAGAGACAAACACGCATTTTGCCTTGCATCTTGGTCCACCCACCACCCCACCCTCTCCTTCTCTGCCTCCCACACATAAAGCAGGACACACAGGTACACTACTTCCAAAAGTTCTGCACACAGATACTTACCCTTACCCGGGTGCTCAGTCGGTTAAGCATCCAACTTCGGCTCAGGTCATGATCTCACAGCTCGTGAGTTCAAGCCCCGCCTCAGGCTCTGTGCTGACAGCTCGGAGCCTGGAGCCTGCTTTAGATTCTGTGTCTCCTTCTCTCTTTTCCCCTCCTCTGCTCACGCTTTGTCTCTCTCTCTCTCTCTCTCTTTCTCTCTCAAGAATAAATAAACATTAAAAAAAATGCTGGTTGCAACCCACCAAATTGATATCATGGCCCACTAAGAATAATCCCTTTAATCTAATCTCCACCACACAGTGTGGAATTTGGTTGTACGCTGAGCCCAGCTCCCTCTCGACTGCTCCTGATTCTCAAGCATACTTGGAACTCCCAGAAGCTTCTCACCAGCCTCCTTGCCTTTAGACTTTCTCTCTCTTTCACCGCTCCCCCTCCCCACCGGTTTTTTCTTGAATGCAGATTTCATCTGACTGACCGTCCTGATGCTTACAAACCTCCTGAGGTTTTCCATTGCTTAAAAGTGCATTTCAAATAAATAGCCTGAGTATAAGGCCCTGTGCAGACGATCTGCTGCTCACCCGCCTTCTCCGTGGCTTCAGCAACTCCAGGTCCTTTGTAATTCCCCTGCCAGATGCCAGTCGTTTCCCCTCTGTGACTTTGCACATGCTGTTCCCTGGCTGGAATGCCTCTCTCTCTTCTCTAGTGGAAACTGCCTTCACTTCAACAGCTCAGGTTCCTAGAAGGAGGTAAATCCTGCCATTTGCAACAGCATAGATGGACCTCGAGGGCCTTATGCTAAGTGAGATAACCCAGACAGGGAAGACAAATACTGTATGATTATCACTCCTGGGTGGAATCTAAAAATGCTGAACTTACTAGAAACAGAGAGTAGAATGGTGGTTCCTGGATGCTGGCAGGTAGGGGACTGCAGAGATGTCGGCCAAAGGTTACAAACTTGCAACTAGGAGATAAATAAGTTTGGGGATCTAATGTGTGGAATAATGATTATAATCACTGTATTATACCATGAAATTGCATACAATGTGGTCCTACAATATGTTGTAATACAATACTGTATTATATACTCCGAAACTGCTAACCGACTAGGTCTTTTTAAAAAATGTTTATTTTTGAGAGAGAGAGAGAACAAGAATGTGTGCGCATGCACACCGGGGAGGGGCAAATAGGGAGAGAAACTCCCAAGCAGGATCTACAGGATCAGCTTGGAGCCCGATGCGGGGCTCACACTCACAAACCCTGAGATTGTGACCTGATCATGACCAAGAGTCGGATGCTTAACTGACTGAGCCACCCAGGGACTCCCAGACTAGATCTGAAATGCTCTCAGCACCAAAAAGAATGACAATTCTGTGGCGTGATGGAGGTATCAGCTAACGCTGCGGTGTGTATCCCTTAAATTTACACAATGTTATATGTAAATCGTATCTCCGTAAATAAAAAATAGAGCTCAGGTTACCTATCACCATGAGGTCTGTCTTCTGTGTTTCGATCGCTCCTCTATACAGCTCTGGGATAGTAGTTATGACACTGAATTATAATTACTCATGGACACGTCTGCATCCCTCAGTAAACCCAAGGCCAGGGACTTGTGTGTCTCAGTCGGTTTATATATCACTGGCACCTAATGTAATGTCACTGTCCAGCGGGTGTTCACTGGAAATTAGCAAAAAGACACTGTTCTCCAGTTTCATATCGTTAATTACATTTCTCCCAATTCTGTATGATCTTAATCTTTCTGGCCATCTTAACAATCCAGTTATTATATACGTGTGCGTTCACACACCCGTGCACGCTGTAGGGGGCGGAGAGGGTAGATCTTGGAAATCAGTCGGTGATTTTTCAGTCCCCGATGAGTGCGGTGCTTTGATCAGATGGGGGGGGGCACCGAATATGGGGTGTCCCAACTGGAAGGGGACTGGTTGTGCTGGTGGAAGGATTCACCCAAGGCAGAACAAAAGAGATAGAAGTTTCTTGAATACACTGCAAGGGAGGGGGCAGGACAGCGAAGGAGAGACTGTCTGAGAGGAAGCAGTGGTGAGGGGCTATTGTTACAGGGCAGAATGAGGGAGCATGGGACTGGGACATACTCCCTTTATTGGTAATCTTAGGAACTGTGCCTGGTGGTAATTGGTCAGGGCGTTTCGAGGTGGGTCACTTCATGATCCTTTCCACATTCAGCTCGGTGATCACCGTGGGCCTTTCAGCCTTGCTCAAACCTATTGCCTAAAAGCAGCCTCTGCTTGATATACCTCCCCTCCCCTCCCCCCCAGCCTGAGGTATACATTCTCCAAGGGAAGGTCAGGATTGTGATAGCAGGAATGCATAAACAAAGAAATGGTCAATACTCAGCGTTTGAGTTTCCAAGCCAATTTTCAAAAATTCACGATAGAGTCAAGACTCTTGAAAGCCGAGACTTTTGATTGGAAGAGAAAGGGCTCGATGCCGGGTCACAAGGTTTATGCCCCGCACAGGGAAGTTAGGTGAAGACAGCCGGCGTAGCCCGCTTCTCCATAGGCTAGATTAGGGATTGGGGACACCTGGGGTCGAGTGGGAGGAGGTCAGTGGGTGGCACCAGACCTAGAGGGATCAAGAAAGGCCAAGTCAGCATCAAGGGGATCCAGGGAAGGCTGAGCCAAGGCTTGGTGAAAATCTGCTGCCTCTTTTACTTCCTACAGGCGTCCGTGTGAGCCGTGCCTCTCCGTGGCAGGCAGCTGGGAGCCTCCTGTGAGGACCCTACCTCTCAAGCGTCCAACAGAAATAACACCCGGCCCGACCTAAGTCTCCTGACCCCATCCAGCTCCTCACGTGAGCAACCTCTTCCGGTCCAGAGGAACAGTGGTGATGCGGTAGGAAAAGCCCCAGCGACCTTACCTGGGGGACCGAACATTACAAGCCTGAGGTTTCATCCCAAGGAAAAACAGTTGGTGGCAAATCCTAGGCTCTTACATGTGTTTAAAATACCTTTAAGCTAAAAAACACTTCCTCTCTTATTGAAAAAAAAGAAAAAAAAGGTTTATTGTGGAAAAAGGCAGATATTAAAAAAGAACTGAATTAATGCAAAGGACACCTGTTAAGCTGGGTGCAGCCATGCTGTCCTAGGTCCCCCGTTGGGTGGTGCTGGTTTAAAGGAGGTGCCACCCTCTGTGGAGGGCCCCATCTGTGGTCTGTCAGAGGGTGGCTCCTCTCCCCCCACCCCCAGCTCTGGTTCCATTCCTGGGTGGTGTTCTAACACCTCACTCTCCCCTTTCCCCCCCCCCCCTTCTCCCCCTCCTCCCGCCCTGCCCCCCTGACCAAAGATGTGAAGCCTGCCCTGACTGTTGCCCCAGCACCCCCACCACAGCGCCCCTGGACCACTGGCCTACCAGGCCCCCACTCCCTGCTTCAGGGCTGCTCTCTGATTCTTTCCCCTCAGGGCAGCCCAGCAGCCAGAGGGACGCGTCCATTCCTGCTTCCATTCCTTCCTTGGCTCCTGGTTGCAGCCAGTGGAGTCCAGACGCCCAGAGCATGGGTTTAGGGTTTCCGTGGTCTGGCTGCGACCCTTCTTCCTGTGCCCCAGGCCGCTCCTGTCACTCTCATCGGTAACTTCCTGGAGACCACACGGGGCTGGCGCTGGTGGGCCCCAGGGCTGGGCTGGACTGGAACTACCCGGCAGCAGAGGTCTGGCCTGAACCCCTGCTCCTCCCTCCCCGCCTTTTCTTCCCTACCCTGTGCCTCCTCCCCAGCTCTTCAGCCGCCTCCTCAGCCCCAAGCCTCATTGAACTGAAGACTCTCCAGGCCCTCCCTGTCTTTGTCCCTAAGGGAAGGGGGTGGTGAGGAAAAAGCGGCTCAAGGTCGCAGACTAGGTCAAGGGCTGGGCTGGGACGGGAACCTGGATCCAGCTTCTTCCCAGCTACTCTGGGCAGGCCACCTCAGAGGAAGGAGGTGTGGTGAGCGCCCTCCTCTGGATGCTTCTTGGCGGCAGCTGAGCTGGGGCAGGGCGGCGGCCAGGCTGCTCTTCCCAGCCTCCCTTCTCCTATACTTGGGGCGTTTCAGATCCTGGCTCTTTCGTGTGCCTGCTTTGCCATGAAGTCCTGGTGCCCATGGTTGGGTCATTAATTCCGGGGTGGCGTGGGAGGTGGCAGAAGGGACCCAGCTCAGGAAAAATGGGCCTGATAGAAGGCCATCAACTGCCACCTGCTGGCTGGATTCAAGCTCCCAGCAGACTCTTTCTGGTCTTGGAATCTTGCCTTAATTGCTGTGACCTTGAAATCCCAAATCTCTGTCCACAGGGTCCCCACCGCCCTCCTCCCACTTGAGGCCTGACCCTTTTCACTGCCCCGTTTCCCTCACTGGGCCCGTTAAGCCTCCTCATACTAACATCCCAGCCCCAGGATGCATATGTATATGCAGAGGGCTCTGGCAAGGGGCAATGCTTAACCCGAAAGGGACTATGTGCTAATGGGGGACAGCAGGCAATGCGGCAGCCACGTTTAAGGGAGGGGCTCTGAGCCAGGAGCTTTGTAGAACCGCTCAGACCTGACCTCCCCTTTGTCAAGTAAGGCTGACCCATTTGTGTTTGTTACCGAATTAAAATTCCAAAGAAAGACGGGCTGCAGGTTGTTTCCAAATAGAAACACACATGCACAGAGAACGGAGAGCTTCTGCCAACATCCCAGACAGGGCCCACTTCCCCTCCCTGCTCCACACGCCCTTTGGAGGAAAAGGATCTGGTAATGCTTCCTGTGGTGGAGGTTAAGTGTCTGCTCCTGCTCCGGGCAGCCCCTGTCTGTGCGTGCAGCCCTTCCCAGCAGTAAGGCTGAGAAGCAGGAGCCTTGTGGCGGGAATGTTTTCAATATGAAGTCATTTCCCACAGTGAAGAAGCTCCCACATCCCACACGGTCCACTGGCAACCTGGGAAGTTTGCTCTGTGCCAGAAGAGAGTCTAAAAATGCCCCAAGCCCATCTTGGGATCTCAGGAATCTGGCTGGAAGAGAACCCAGGAGACAACAAATCCCCAAACAACCGCCTACCCCACACGGAAGCCAGCAGAAGGTGAAGCTCATTCCAGCCTCCAGGGGCTCTGTGTCCCACTGGGTGACATGATGCCCACAGATTGACCGCTGGTTGAGCCCTTAAGGGCAGGCCTGGTTCTTTCCTGTTGATGGGTTTCCAGAGCCCAGGACTGAGTAAATTCAGCTACTCGGCATGTGTTAGACGCTTGAAAATTCAAGCAGGTGTCTGGGGGGGGGGGGGGGCGGGCGGGGCAGGACAAGGGCTTCTAGGCATGTCCAGGAGGGACCTCTCCGTAGAGGAGAAGGGAGGCCAGCCTAAGATGTCCTCACCTGGAGAAAAGAAGGGAGCAGGCACATGGTGGGGAACACGGCAGTAGAAACCTGTTCAAAGACCCTGTCCTACATTGTTACGGTTATCAAAGCAATGTGGTGGGCGAGGCCATAACTGGCAAGAGGGATCAGTGTAACAGACCAGGCACGGAGTATTTTCTAGTATATGAAGACCTGAGGATATAAAGACAACCAATGAGAAAGTGATGGGCTGTTCAACAATGCAATTGGGAAAATGGGCTACTTGGGGAGGGGTGGGGGAAATCACATCTGACCCTGACCTTGGACAATTTCCCATGATAAGTAGTGATTAAAGAGCCGTCCAGTTAGGCTCAGAATTGGGGATTCGGTGGGATAGAGGCACACATGAGACAGATCTCCTTGTCCGTTCTCCTGCTCCCTTGGACCCGGGGAGGGTGATGTCTTGGTCAAGGTAGAACGTATCCTCCTCAGCATATCCCAGCCAGGAGACGGAACTCTCAGTAACTCACGGCGACCTTGATATTTTTTCCAAGCCCAGGACTTCGTGAATTGATCTAGAGCAGAAACTCTAGGGGTGTCTTTCTTCAAACTCATGTTTAGCAAAAGTGCTTTCCTGCACCCAAATCTGCACATGATACTGTTCTGCTGTTTTTCTTCTCCTGACATTTCTTGTTTGCACTACTTATGCTGGATGCCGGGGGCTCTTGGAGATTTGTCCCATTCTCTCGACTGCTGGCATAATGGAAACTTAAGGGTTAGACCGGGAAGGAACCCTAAAATTGTCCTATTCCCTCATTTTATAGAAAGAGAGAGTGAGGTCCACAGAGGGGTAGCGAATTACTCAATGTCGCACAGCCCGTCAGAGGCAGATCTGGGCTTGGACCACCCCGCCAGTCCCCGGCATCCTGCCCAATGCTTCTCTGCAGCCCTTTGCCATTTCCTCTCCAGCCCTCTTTTCTAAGACTTTCCTTGCTTTCCTGTGGCTCTTCTGAGTTCCCTATGGCATCCGCACTGCTACACGTCTCTCCACTTAGCTGCCTGACTACTCTGCTCTGTGACAATCCTGGCTTGGTGAGACAGTGTCTCCCAGAGGCCTGGCGGCTCCCGCCCTTCTCCCCTTGTCTCATGATGGGTCCCGGCCCTCCTCTCAGAACAGATTCTGCTCGATGCTGAGCCTGGCTGGCGGACCGGAAGCATGTGCGTCTTCTGGTTCCGGGCTCAGAAGATCTGTGTCTTCCCTACTATACCAGCTGAATGACCTTGAACGTGTCATTGCTCTGGATTTGACAGCTCTTCTTGAAAATGGAAATGATATTAGACCATAGCAGCTAGGGCTGCTTTGTAAACTGGAAGGCATCCTTCCAGTGTAAGACATCGGTGTCCCCCAGCCTCAACACAGGGCTTCATCCAGAGCAGATGCTTACCGTGTATCTGGAGAACAGTGGTTCTCAACTGGGGGTGATGTTCACATCCTAGGGGACACTGGGTCATATCTGGAGACATTTTTGTTCATCACCACTGGGGAGGGGTTGCTATGGCATCTGACGGGTCCTGCTAAATATCTTACAGTGAATAGGACGGCCCTCACAGAAAAGAATTATCTGGCCCCAAATGTCAGTTAGTGCTGCTTCAGAAGCCTTGCTGTAGACGAACAAAAGTGTCACATTATATCTGTAGATACAGACGTGGCTCGTTGTTCCAGAAAGGCAAGGAGCTGTGGCTGGAAGGAAGCGGACCATCAAGATACCATGGTGACCAAGGGCAGGAGCCACTGGAGTTAAATGAGATGGTCGTGCCCGGGTGTGAGAAGTTGAAAACATTTTATTTCAATTCTATCCTTGGGAGGCAGCATAAATAATCACAAAAGACCACAAAGGTCACTGGGGAAGAAAAAAACGGTCAAGAAGTGTGAGGAGATGAGAGGGGACACTGTCTAGCTGCAGGAGGTGGAGGGCGAGGAGACCCTGCTTTAGCTGGCGGAGAGGGTGGAGGGTTCTTGGAGGAAAAGCCCAAGGGGTGGGGCTTTCCCCACCCAGGTCACCTGTGGGGGTGGCGCTTGGGGAGCCCTGGCCTCTGTGGATGGATGTGCTGCAGGGCGGCCAAGGGACAAGCAGGTGTGGGGGCATAATGCTAACAAGAGAGGAGTGGACACCCGTTTCTTGACCCCCCCCCCCCCGCAGGCCAGATCTCACCCCCAGACTGTGACTTTTCTGAGAGCAGTGTTTATAGACTCGGTGGGTAGTGGGCAATGAAGGGAGAAAACAAGGGAAGAAAAAAGAAAATGTGTAGAAGACCAAATGAAATATGGCGTCTCAAAGAGTTGCGTGACCTTGGGCCACTCCTGTTTCCTCATCTGCAAAATGGAGGGAGGATGCTCCCTACTTCTTGGCGCGGGTGTGAGGCTCAACTGAGACCCTACGTGTCAAAGAACCGCGTAAACTTTAAAGTGCTATACGGACGCGAGGGGCTGTGGTCGTTCTACAAGTGTAAGGCCGAAAGTGGCTGAGACACAAGCGGTGAGGGGCACACGTGGAGCAGCCCTCAAGTGGTCAGACCCCTGCTCTGCCTTCCCCAGGGCCGAGCTCCACCCTTCTCAGCCTCAGCTTCCAGGAGGAAGAGGCCTCATCTGAGGGAGTCACCTGGGGAGTGAGAGCAGAAGGTGGGGGCCAGGAGGGTAGAGGGGCACTGAGTGTGGAGGGCCTCAACTAGGCAGTGTGACACATTGG